GTCTGAATTGAGCGATCAATTATTAGACCCGGACGTCCCAACACTTGCTTCGCAAGACAATCTCAAGGTATCCCCTAAGGGGCTACCTTTCGTGAATTTTGTATCTTCTGCATCACCAATCCACCAAAAATAGCAACAAACTAGACGACGAGTGGCCCGAATGCATTTTTCATCACGTAGGAAGTCAGAGTGCGAGTTATCTGTTAAGTGTGTTATAAGTGTTCAGTGTGAAGTGTTAAGTCGAGTGTGTTGAGGCAGTGTGTGGGTCTCTGTGTGTGTGTATCTATGTCTGTGTGTGTATGTGTCTCTCTCTGTATGCCTTTCTGTAGCGCAGGAACACCTGTTTTCTGCAAGTTCTTCACCTCTCGAAAGTCACCTCCGCGTAGTAAAGTTGTACTACAAAGTCGCCAGTTCTCATCTTCCAGCTCCACAGATTGCTCCGTGTACTAAAGTTCTACTACCAAGTCGCCAGTTCTCATCTTCCAGCTCCCCAGATACTCCGCGTACTCAAGTTGTACTACCAAGTCGCCAGTTCTCATCTTCCAGCTCCCCGGATACTCCGCGTACTAATGTTGTACTACCAAGTCACCAGTTCTCATCTTCCCACTCCCCAGATACTCCGCGTACTAAAGTTGTACTACCAAGTCGCCAGTTCTCATCTTCCAGCTCCCCAGCTACTCCGCGTACTACAGTTGTACTACAAAGTCGCCAGTGCTCATCTTCCAGCTCCCGAGATACTCCGCGGACTCAAGTTGTACTACCAAGTCGCCAGTTCTCATCTTCCCACCGCCCAGCTACTCCGCGTACTAAAGTTGTACTACCAAGTCGCCAGTTCTCATCTTCCAGCTCCCCAGCTACTCCGCGTACTAAAGTTGTACTACAAAGTCGCCAGTTCTCAGCTTCCAGCTCCACAGATTGCTCCGCGTACTAAAGTTGTACTAGAAAGTCGCCAGTTCTCGGCTTCCAGCTCCCCGGCTACTCCGCGTACTAAAGTTGTACTACAAAGTCGCCAGTTCTCAGCTCCCAGCTCCACAGATTTCTCCGCGTACTAAAGTTGTACTAGAAAGTCGCCAGTTCTCAGCTTCCAGCTCCCCAGCTACTCTGCGTACTAAAGTTGTACTACAAAGTCGCCAGTTCTCAGCTTCCAGCTCCACAGATTGCTTTCGCGCGCTCGACGCGCACGATCTCCGCAGAGGGTTGCGCGCACAGCCGGCAAATCGCACTCTCGCCTGTATTTCGCGCACTCGACACGCACGATCTCCGCAGAGGGTTGCGCGCGGACCGGACAAATCGCACTCTCGCCTGCATTTCGCGCACTCGACACGCACGATCTCCGCAGAGGGTTGCGCGGGCAGCCGGCAAATCGCACTCTCGCCTGCATTTCGCGCACTCGACACGCACGATCTCCGCAGAGGGTTGCGCGCGGACCGGACAAATCGCACTCTCGCCTGCGTTTCGCGCACTCGACACGCACGATGTCCGCAGAGGGTTGCGCGCGCACCCGGCAAATCGCACTCTCGCCTGCATTTCGCGCACTCGACACGCACGATCTCCGCAGAGGGTTGCGCGCGCAGCCGGCAAATCGCACTCTCGCCTGCATTTCGCGCACTCGACACGCACGATCTCCGCAGAGGGTTGCACTTTCGGTTGACGCTGTTCGTCCCGCACTCCGCCTTTAAGAGAGAATTTATAAAGTGGGGAAATGTTTTTTCATTAGGACATCTCCCGTCCATACTCACACTTGCCTACTCATTGCATGCTTGCATAGTCATTGCATGCTTGCATACTCACCCTTGCATATCATGCTTGCATACTTACACTTGCATACTTTGACACTGGCATACTTCGCACTTGGACGCTTTCGCTCTTCCAGTGTGTGTGTGTGTGTAAGTGTGAGTGTCGAAGTGTAAGTGTCGAAGTGTCAGTGTTCAAAGGATTTTCCGGAAGAACCCTTCGCAATGCTTTCGGGAAAAAAATTGAAACACAACCAACTTTCTAGGCTTTACATCCTCGGATCCACGTCTTCCCCCCACCCCCTAGATAGCTCTGGCCCATCGGCTGGCTTTCACACACCAAAAAAGACAGGCCGATATGACAGGCCTTCAGGCACAGGTGGGGGTGGCGGTGCCCTTTTCTTTTTGGATGAAGGTGCGTTTGGAAGAGAAAAAAGGGCACCCCGAAGTCATTGCTTGTCTGCGGTTTGTTTTTCGTGTGGACTCATGAACCTGGCGCCGTTGAGGGTGGATCGTATTGCTATGGAGAGAAATCGACATGGCGGTGATGTCTACAGCTGTTGGAAATAGAAAACGGAAGATATAGGACTCAAGTCCGATGTTACAGCCAAGATCAAGTGAGCGTCTCACATCGGGCAAAAAGCAGCTTTGTTATGGGGCACTAGAAAGCAGAAGATATCGGATTGGGGGGGTGCCCTTGAATAGCAGTGTAATGGGGCGAAGTCGACACGGTGGTACAAGACTGCATAAATAGCCTCTGGACACGCACATCTCCCTCATCCTCCCCCGCTATGCCTATCCCCCACATGAACTCCCACCCCATATGGGGCGCGCTTTTGCGTATGGTTAACAGGCGTCTTCACCACAAAAAGGGGCTACCGTCCTCCTCTGCTACGCCTGTATTCCACATGCCCTTTTGCGTCTGGCTACTATGCCGCTTCACCATTGAGAAAGGGCACCTCAAGCAACTCAAAGCTGGCGCACAGCATTCTGTTCCCTCTGCTACCCTCACAAATCATATCATCTCTTGCAATCCCTTCCCCACTGCATTCTGTTCCCTCTCCTGCCGTCACAGGTCACATCATTTCCACAATACAACAGTGTGTTGAGAGACGCACACCTCCCTGTCACCCCTGGTCGAAGCACATCTCCCTTTCCCTGGAGGTGCTCCAACCACTTTTCGCGTCCCGTTGCCCCCGCTGTCCTATCATCGACATGAACTCCCACCCCTGGTAGAATACTGTTTACATTGCCTCCTGAGCCCCTCATGATGCTAACGATGCACTCTTCGCCGTCTATTACATCGCTTGCATCACAACACCCCAAAAACAATGCATAATTTTAACTCCCATTCTGACCATTTTTTCCGCTCTCCCCCACCGGGCTCTGGGTTCGCCCTCCCACATTGGCCTCTGTGCGACCACCCCCCCCACACACTAATATACTCACTTCGTTCGCCCATCGACAACTCCAGCCTAGCCTATCGGCTGGCTTTCGTAATTAATGAACTGAAAGGAGAATCAGGTCATTGTGTTGAATACGGATTCCAATGGATGGAGCAAAACAAACATCAACAAAACATTCAGAGAAATGAATGTGTTTTTCCCGATGTTGTGGTCCTGTACATTGTGGTCAGATCGAAAGGGAGACTACATGAGACTACACCATTATTCATGTTTGTTGATACTGATTTGCAATTATGGACTGACTTGCTCAGTGTCCTCAAAAAAATCATAATTTAAGCTACCTTGCATTGCATGGCATGATGTAGAAAAATACAGTTAAAACTGCTCCGCGAGCCACCCTCTTTCCCAGGTCCAAGGCAAGCCACTAAGTTGGCAGAGACCCATTGCTGTTCTTCATGCCAAAGCCATATCTGTCCAGTCATCGGAAGAAAACCATGTGGCGCCTGAGCTGCCGGAGATCCAGGTCTTTCATCTTCATGCCCTCGCAGCATGGGACAAGCGCCTCCAGCAACGCCGAAGCCATGCTGCGCCTGAGCTATCGGAGCTCCAGGCCTTTCACCTTCATGCCCTCGCTGCATGGGACAAGCGCCTCCAGCAACGCCGAAGCCATGCTGTGCCTGACCTATCGGAGCTCCAGGTCTTTCACCTTCATGCCCTCGCTGCATGGGACAAGCGCCTCCAGCAACGCCAAAGCCATGCGGCGCCTGAGCTATCGGAGCTCCAGGCCTTTCACCTTCACGCCCTCGCTGCGTGGGACGAGCGCCTCCAGCAACGCCAACAAATGAACAGAACGCTAGCTAAAGGAATGGTCGAAAAACAACTGAGAGACACCAACTCTAAGCCCTGACATAGTGGCACGGCAACAAAAATGTAAATGTCATCTCATTCCATGGGCAGTAGGCTCTTCTTTTATTCCTTTCTTGAAGTAGTTATATATTTGTCAGCGCCTTGTCTATGAGCACTCTCGACCCTCCTTGCCTGCACTTCCTTCTACTGGCTCTGCAGGCCAAGAAACCTGAGGAAAGCTGCCTGCTTTTGCGAGCCGGCAAAGGCGGCTAATTGGATACTCAACCCTCTATTCACATGTCCGGCTTCCATGTCTGCTCCCTTGAGGAAGCATCAAAAAACACACCTCGCATTTCAGTCTTACAGGACTTTCGACACCCATCTGCATCCACGCCGCCGTCTTCGGCGTTGCTCTCCCCACGGCGCTCGTGGGCCGCGGCCGCATGGACGTTCGTGCTGTCTGCGGCGCGGTCGGCACGGTGGGCGCCATCTTGGGCGCCGGCAGCGGGGGCGGCTCTTGAAGCCAAGGCGGGAGGTCAGCTCGGGACTCTTTGGAGTCCTTCCTCGATACATCGATGTGAGAGGACGGAGTCCAACGTGAGAACAATCATAGTAGCGTCCGATCGCTCCGTTCGTAACAATGCCCTTTGTTCCTAGTAGCTTCTTGTTCCTAGTAGTATGACCAGGAGCTACTAGTAGCGTCCTTGCTTCTGGATCTTCTAGATATGAGCTGTGGTTTTACTTCCATTACTTTTGTTCCCTTTTTGAGTGTTGACATTCTTGCATCTCCACCAAGTGCTTCTTTCGTAAGCACGCAGGAATCTGAATCTTCAACCGAGTAACTTCACTTCCACTTCCTCAGAGTCAAAGCCCAACCTGGGCTCGGTCGCATGGTCAAAGGTGGACAAGCACCGGCGTCCCTAATCCAAGGGTGCTGTTTCTTGGCACTGAAATGAGATTTGGATACCTATGGAGTTCTTTTCCAAGAGCTACGTCTGGTATCCAATAGAAGAAGCGCGATGCAGACCTCAGGACAGAATATTTGGCCTGCCTTTGAGTGCTCTTTGGAATATTGCTACCGGGATGCCTATTCAAAATAAAATATTGTCCTGTTAAACAAGGAGGAAAGAAAACATTGGGATTCTCTACAAAAATGATCATAACATCTATGTTTGGAGGAAGGGAAGACCCGAAGACCCCGGGCCCAACAACTCCGTTTCAGTCTCCATCGTTCTGTCAGGGCTCTTCACGCCCAACGCTTGCAAGGCATGCTCCAGAGCATCGCTACGCAAGGTGGCTAGGCCTCACAGGGAGCGGCGCCCGGGCGTCCACCTCGAGGACCTTGCTCCGATGTCCAGTTGGACCAACCGAGCATTTCTGGCGGATCAACTCATCAAGTGAAAGCTTTTCTTTCGGCCTGGGAGTGCCATGGGAGTGCAGTCGAAACAAACAATTTGACACCAGCCGCCTGCCATTCGATCGTAGCCAGGGTGTATTGTCAAGGTGTTGCCTTCTGTCATACGCCGCTGGATTTCCACAATCCTTGGGCTTGTGGCTCGTTGCAAACCCAAGCCCGGCCATGGAGAATCTGGTACATCTCATCGCATCAATCAAGGACGTAAGAACTGGTCAATCCGTCTGTGCTTTGATCCACTCTAGCCTTCGAAGGACGCCAACACAGACCAAATAGGAGTTGTTATTATTTGCGCGATTCAATTTGTTGACATAAAGGAACAGCGCCGGCCGAACAAACGAGCAATCTTCGCTCCACGCGAGGGGGTTGAACGGCTCTTTTGAGCGTGTCGACTGTTTTGTCAGAAAACTAAAAAAGCACCGACCCGGGTCATGATGGAACACTAGGAAGCAAAACTGTAACAAACGACAAATGGAAGCTGCATCAGTTTTGAGTTTTCCACCAAGCCACTTCATAGCTCCGTTCCATTCAAGAAGCGCCAGGCCTAAAAAGAGAGAGTCGGTTGCCATTTCCAAAGAAGGATCAAGTCTTCCATAAACAACCAGAAAACTCCCGAAAGCATTTGGAGGTCAAAACAGGACACAGCAAACACGGAGGTAATGCAACAACACCTGATATGTAAACATGGTGACATCGAACTGTGTGTATTGTTTACACACCCACCCTCCCTCCTGAA